TACACCGGTACAGATAAGAGCTCTGGACACATGGAATCCAACACAGATAAACCCCTCAGGAACAGCAATGGAAGTACTGATACCATGAGGGTAGGGGGAAGGTGGAGGGAGAAGGGGGAGAAACGTGAACCGACTACAATGACAATAGTAACATGGATGGAGGGAGACAGCGGGCGGTGTAAGATCTGAAAATAATAATAATTTATCATTTATGAGGAGTCCAGGAAGGGGGGAGGGAGGGAGGGTAAAAAGAGGAGCTGACACCAAGGACTTGAACAGGAAGAAGCTATGTGCTTGATACCATTGATGTGTGAATTGCTGTAAGAGCTGTAAGAGCCCCCAGTGGAATGACTTATTTATCATAAGAATGTAGGAAAAGAGGAAGGCCCTGGACCAGATGGGTGGACACTGGCTGCAACCGTGGGCTCAGACAGCAGAACAGTTGGGGACGGTGTGGGCCGGGCGGGGTTTCCTGCCCTTGGGCTGGAGGGGGCGATGACTCAGAGCCAACGTGAAGGCACCTAAGGACAACATTTGTTGAAAAGACTTTTCCATCATCATTCTGTTGTCTCGGTACCCTTGCCGAAAACCCATCAGCTCTAACTGTCAAGGTTATTATATATGTACTATCCATATTATACACACACACACACCACTTGCATACATACCCCAAACCAAGCTCACTGCCACTGGATGGATTCCAACTCACAACGACCCCCCAGGACAGGGTGGAACTGACCTATGGGTTTGAGTCTGTAATTCTACACAGGAGAAGAAAGCCTCATCTTTCTCCTGAGCACCAGCTGCCTACATTGAACCACAAGCCCACTGGGCCCCCAGGGCTACATAGAGACATATGCGTACATGTTACATAGGCACATAGGCTTACACCAGTACCACACTGTCATGATTAACTTGAAATTAGAAATTTTAGTCCTCCAACTTAACTCTGTTGAAGAGTTGAATGCTTTATTATTGCCAACGGAGTCCAGTCCAAATCAAGTGACCCCATGGGACAGAGGAGAATGGACCCATGGGGTTAACATGGCTGTGCTTCCAAAAAAAAATCATTTTACGGGGGGCTCGTACAACTCTTATCACAATCCATCTATCCATCCATTGTCTCAAGCACATTTGTACATTTGTTGCCATCATCATTCTCAACACATTTGCTTTCTACTTGAGCCCTTGGTATCAGCTCCTC